AGGAAAGGGGTCAGATAGGTAGCCAGGAGTCCAGTCACTTAGTGTCTCCTAGTCTGGGGTAGAGACTTGACTTTATTCTGAGGGAGATGGGAAGCCAATAAGGGCCCTCTCTTATCTGTGTGGAGAAAAGAAGGGGTGGGGTGTCGTGGGAGGGCATCAGAAGCAAGGAGACAGTTAGGAGACTTACACAGCAGCCCAGTCAGGAGCTGATGGAGGTGACAGCCATGGAGGAACAGTCAGTGGAAGTGGTTGGATATGGGATTTATTGCAAAATTAGGGTTGAGGAGATTTGTTGAAGGACTGGATGCGGGTATGAGAGAAGGAGAGTCAAGAATGGCGTCAAGGTTTTTGGTCTGAACAGCTAGAAGAATGAATTAGCTATTTCCCAAGACAGGAAATGCCTGGGGAGGAGCAGGTTGGAGGTGAAGGGTTGGGTTTTAGACATGTTAGTGTGACATGCTCATTAATAGCCAGTCTTAATGACCATATGTCACCTTCCAGCATCCTCGCTGTTTCCCAGTGTTCTCCCTGCCCATGTCTAGACCCCTGTCACTCACCCCCAATCCTCCCTGCCCCCTGTGCCTCACCAGGCTATCTACAAGATGGTGGGCACCGTGATCATGATGCGCATGAACCAGGATGGGCTCACGCCCCAGCAGCGCGTGGACAAGATCTTCAAGAAGATGGACCAAGATAAGGATGACCAGATTACCCTGGAGGAGTTCAAGGAGGCGGCCAAGAGTGACCCATCCATTGTGCTGCTGCTGCAGTGTGACATGCAGAAGTAGAGAGGAAAGGCTGGTTGAGGGGCAGGGACCCTGGCCAGGAGGAGCGTGGCCGCTTCCCAACCCCATGAACTCCCTGGCTGGCCCTTCCCCGGGGGGAGGGGTACTCTAGCCTCACTCTCTGGCCCACCCACCCCTCTGCCCAAGCCCTTGCTCCCCTTAATCAAGATCCTTGAGGGACCACCTCACCCTGGAAAAGAGACAGATCCTCAGGTACCCTGTGGTCTAGTGCCACCCCCAGTCTTGGCCCAGAGCTAACATCACTGGGCATAGGGGAGTTGTCTTTTGTCCCTACAGGCAGGGTTAAGGAGGGAGGCTGGAGTTCTGCTTTGAAAGTCTGTTCTTCCTGGGATTATACTTTATAGGATGTGGTCCCACATACCCCAGTTAAAGGGCCAAATTGGGTGTGTCCTTTGCTGGGGACCCAGATCCCTTAAGGGCGGTCTCTGCCCTATTCCCTTGACTCTCCCTGGCCCTTCTGGCCCCTGTCTTTGAAGCACTTGTTCGGTCTTCTCTTCAGCTAGTATTTATTGAGCACCTGTTCAATGTCAGGCACCTCTAGGTGCTAAGGATGTGGTCATCTACAAGACACATTCTGGGCCCCCTGGAAGCTCATAGAGTAGTGAGGCAGACTTCCAGTGGTCAGAGTCTCAGATGGGGACATCGAACACAGCTGAGCAGAAGGTGCCACCAGTAAGGCTGGTTGGTTTGAGAGGAACAAGTCAGTCTTTCCACTCAGTTCTACGCAGAGCTGTAGAAGGGTAAATGAAGTGTTTGGAAGTCTAGGAACCATGTGAGTGGAAGTTTTAAGAAAAATTGGAATTTATGTAATACTTATTTTTTTAGTACCCTTAAAAGGAGCTAAAGTAATTTTATTAGTTTAGGATATTAAAACATACTTTATATTTACTCAATTTCTTGTAAAATGATCAAATAAGTATAGAAATGCTCATTTTCATGGGGGGAAAAAGAGCTGAGGGGGAAAAAGAGGGAAAATACCACCAAACTCACCAGAAAACTTTTCCTTATCAGTCTAAATCCTGAGCTGTCACCATCAGCAGCTTCCTTCCTTTTTGCTAATCTTTTTCAATTCAATGAGCAACTCCATTGTACACTTACGCCGGTTAGGTTAGGTGCTGACTTTAGAAACACAATAACAAGGTTTGCCGTGAGTGAGACTGTATTTCCACATCTTGGTAGTTCCTTTCTGGATTTGCTCTAGTTTCAAGGATGGAGTTGTTCTTCCACTGCTACAGAAGCAGAAGGAGCTGGAAGACAAGGACCACCTGGCTACTGTTTAGGCTGCCAGGCTGTGTTTATGGACCAAATGCCGAAAAATGTTCTGGGCATGCTGATCTGAAAAGCTTTTTTTAACCCCAAATCCTAAATCTGGCAGGTAATTCATCATCTTCTAAGTGCACTGGCTTTGCTTTCCAATACCTGCTCTCCGGTTTGGGTCCATGAGCTATACAGCTGCATGCTTTGACTGCTAGAAAATTCATCTTGCACCTTCAAGTCTTTCACTTTACCTTTTCCTGTACTTGTGATCAGAGATTAGCTTTGATGTGCAGTGATGGTTGATTTCCTCTTGAACCACTGGTGAAAACAGTGTAGTACACAGGTGCTCTCAGCCCAGGGTGGGAACAGGGAACAGTTGCTGAGTTGGGGGGGTGCGGATTGTATCTGCAGGAAAGCAATGCAGCATGTATTTTACTTCTGAGTGTCCACCTGTTCTCCCTCTCTGAGGGTGGAAACTCTTGGGGATGCGGACTTTAGGTCCCAAACTCTATTGGGCCTTCCTTCTTGCTGCTGTCAGAGGTAGCAAGGCCACTGGGTTGCCACCTCTTTCTATCCTGCCTATGACCAGCCATGTGGTGAGGCTGGGGAATTCATATCCTCAGGCAGTAACCAGTAGGCCTTTATCCAGTAATGCCTCAAAGGATGTTCCATTGCTCTCAGGAGCTGGCCATTAGGTGTGTCTTGTGCTGTCAGTCAGCACCACAGATACAGATACTCAACAGCCGGGCTCAGCTGACACTTCCAATGGAAGGCTTTTTACAAAGTGGGGTTCCTATCCCCCAAACGTTGAATCTAACCCAACTCCCAATCACACAGAACTTCATGGCTTTCCAAGGCTTGCCATGTACCCCATCTCATTCTATACTCACAGCCTTGGGAAGTGGGGATTTTCATTTCCTTTCTCCAGACTTGGAGACTGAGGCATAGAGAAGGGAGTCTCTTGTGCAAAAACACACAATCAGGAGGTGACACAGTGCCAAGACTTGAACCCAAGGCTCTAAACAGATTTCTTCCCTTCAGAGTCTCTCTCCTGCTCATTTATTTGACTCAGAGTTGTACAGAGGTTTACTGCGGGGCAAGCTAAGTTGGTTTTGGTCTTTTACAAGCTTCCTGCTAAGAAGTTTCTGAGGCTGTGGTCTTCCAAAAAGAAACAGGAGCTTGGTTGAAGTCTTCACATTCTCAAGCATCTTGTTTTCTGTTTCCGGGCAGCTCTGCTAACAAATCAATGCTGTCCTAGGAGGCCTCTGACTCAGAACCCTGGAAGCATCTTGCACTATCTTTACTATCATTTTCCTCCCTGAGGGAACTGTTTTTGTTTTTTCCTAGCTTGTAGGTAAGTGCTCCCTGTGAGGGCACGTTTGATCATTCCAAGCTGTTGGACACATACCCGTGGCTGATATTTGCTGGTCAGGCCAAAGATTCTCATACAGTCCAACAGTGTTGAACACAAAATTTCAGGCCAGAGACCAGGACCACCATCTTGCTAATGGGAGGAGCCATAGGCAGGCCAGGCGTTGCTCCTACATGTTCCTGATGTCCCAAGGACAGTGCTTAGGAGCTCCTGTGGTAGAGCACTGGCCCTGCTGTGAGAAGAGAGGCAGTCCTCTCATTTCTGCATCAGCTGAGAGGGACTCGTCACAGGGCACAAGGTTAGCAGAGATTGAAGTATGACTTGCATAGACTCAAAAATACACAGACAGTTACAACACTGATATATCCAAACTCTCCTTTGAAGTTCTGTATCTTCCTGCAGCAACTCTGAATGGCAAGATTCCAAATCTGTCTTCCAACTGTATTCTGTCCCTTATTCAACATTTTGTCTAGTTGATGAGCTCCTCTTTATCTCCAAAAATCATCAGCAAGGGCTATTTCAGATGGCCACTCCAGCCCTTTGAGCTGTAGCCAGGATTACATAATTTATCTTAAGTCAAAAACTAAGAAAAAGGAAGCCTATAAGCAAAGGCACTTTATCTTTTCCTGACAATGACAGAGTCCCTAGAGGTAGAAATTCATTGTGCTGCACAGAGAGAGAGCAGGGGAGGGGAGAGAAAGGAAATAGAGAGAATAAGCTGGGGGTTTTAGGCAAGGTAGTAAGCTGACACTGTAAATATTTTTACACAAAAAATTATTAAAGCAACAAATATTTCCTGAAGACCTACCCTGGGCGAGGCTTTGTGCTGACTATAGAGCTCATTGTGGGGGCAAGAATATATTTCCTACATATTTTATTCATCAGTTTTGAAAAAAAAGTTCAAATCCTCAAATATATGGGATTTTCTTTCTGAAATTTTCAAAGTTTTTTTTGACCTTTGCCAGAATGTAGGGGCAGGACCAGGCCTCCCAGGGTGGGCCCTTCCTGCTTGGTCGAGGCTCTGGGAGTGTTGAGGCCTGGGGCAGTGGGGGGAGATGAGTGGCACAGGGGGGGCTCCCAACCCATTCACCACTGTGGCCCCTGTCCCCTACAGATGTGCTGCTCCTGGCTGTGCCCACAGTGGCTGTCCTCACTGTTCAACCCTGTGCTGTGTGGTGTGTGTTTTTTTCACTGACAGTGAATAAAAGGTGTGACTATGCCGAGGGTCCCTGCTCTTCTCTAAGCTGGGATAGGGCTGGGGTGAGGGGAAAGAGGGGAAGCTCACACCATGAGAGTCCCTCAGCAACTCCTAGAACTGAAGTCTTTGTTCTGCAAGAACTCTGATTACATGGAGCCAGACCCACTCGATAGTTCAAAGGAAGGGGTGAGCAGATTACAAGGGACCCTAAAGATGGAAAATCAAGAATGACTGGGCCTTACGTGAACTAGAACTAAGAGTGGGCCTCTCTCTTTCTCGTCTCTGGGCCTCACAGGCTCTCATCCCTTGGCAATATTTGCATCTGTGCTCTTTTCCTTGGTTTTGCTTCAGACTTGCTTGGCTTCCCTGCACAAAGTGACTGCATCCTAATTTTGTATCAAGACTCACCAGCAATGACAATGCCCCTCTGTGTCTCTTAGTTCCAGTTCTCAAACAAAAGAATCTGATTGGTTCAGCTTAGCTTCTGGTAGGACTCCGTGGTCTAATTATCTATGGCCAGACTGGATGCTGATATGGGGGGGGTCTGTGGGCAAAGCAGTCCCCCCAGGAGAGAGCTAGTGGCAGTACATAGTGGAGTTTAGTTTCTCCCCCTGTCCAGCGGAAGTCATCATAAAAGCCCAAATAAGTGTATAGTGGGCAGTGGGGAAGAAGACCATGAGCCAGGATTACAATGGTCCAAAGGGGGGTCCCCTGTACTAATTAGAAAAGGAGCCCCCTCTGAGTGGAAGCATCCCCATAAGTATGCAGCCTGACCAGTGGATGGCACCTTTGGGCTAATCAGAAAAATAGGCCCCATCTTCTGAACAAACACAGCCTTGTCATGATGCAATTTGACAAGCGGAGCGTGGCCAGGATTTCAGCCCCCACGTGCTCTGCTGGTCAGAGGTCCTGTAGTGCATAACCTGTGTGTTATACCATTCTTAGGAGCCCAGCCCAGAGCCCTGAGACCCCCTACACGGACCCAAATATGGTAAGGGTTGGGGATGGGAGTTGGCAGTGAAATGTTCCTCTCAGAAGACCCCTCAATAGTCAGAGAGGCATTGTTCCCTGCAGGGGGTTGGGGGCAGCAGCAGCTGTCGGTGCCTGCTTCCTTCTGAAACGCTCAATTGCTTTTACAAGGGCTTTCTCAAGGTCACTCAGAGGGGGCCAGCTGCCTTGGCAGGAAGCAATTAGGACGGAGGAAGGAGGCTGACCTGGCCTCAGGGCAATCATGAACCTAAGGAGGTGACTCAGAAGTCTGAGAACTTGGGGCTGCTATTCCCAGCTGAAGCTCCACTGGGGGGATGGGGAGTCCTGTCTCCTGCCTGTCTTAGAGTGCACAGGTCCTGGGTTACCATCTCCTAAAAACGTTCCCCTAGGCCCTCATCATCTCTAGCCCAGGTTAGTCCACCTCCTGCTTTAAGGCTTGCTCTCTGTGCCATCTATCTGCCCCAAAGAAACAGGGGTGATCTCCCTAAAGCACAAATCTGACCATGTCAACTCTTCAAATTCTCCCCGTCCTCAGTATCATAAACTCCGTAAAAGTCCCCCAATGCCCTGCATGATCTTCCATCTGCTGACTTCAAAAGCCTGTTTTTCCCTTGCCTCCCCCTCCTTCTCCCTGCATTTGAGACACCCTGTATTGTCCCCCATTTCCCTGAGGGATCTCTTAGGCTTCTGTGCCTGTACACAAGCCATTGCCCCTCTCTTGGCCACCCATTCATTCTCCTGTCTGAGTGATCTCCTCTGTGAAGCCCTCCCAAACCTCAGACAATTGGCCCCTCATGTGTACACAGTTCATCATGAGATTCCCTGTGAGCTGAGCTGGGCACATGCAAGTCTCCCAGTAAAGGGGACTGGAGTAGTTGAGGCTTCGGGTTGCAAGTGAACAAAATGAATTCAAACAAGCTCAAGCAAAAAGGGAGGCTTAATGGCTCATGTAACTGGGAAGTTCAGGCTCCGCTGGATCCAGAGACTCAGTTTTGCACCCTTTTTCCCTCCATGCTTCTGCTTCTCTCTCTGTGTGGCCTCATTGGGCATCTCCCATGATGTTTCACCTGTCTCACAGGAAAATGGGTTCCCAGATCACATTGCCCCAAGTTAATAACCCCAGGGAAGAAAGAGCCAAATCTCCCAGCAACCCTATACAAGAGCATGGGAGACTGGCCCAACTGGGGCCACATGCTCCTCCTTGGCTTAATCACTGTGTCTGAGGAAATAGGGCTCTACAGTTGGTGAGGTCTAGGCCACATGTCTGCTCCTATGACCAGGAAGGCAGGGCCAGTTACAGTGGGAAAGACTGCTAGTAAAAAACACCAATAGCCACCAACTTTGGGGGGGGGGCATTTGCCAAAGTGATGTGGAGAATCTCCTGTAAATTTAGAGATGGGCACTATAGCCAGGTCCTCAACTGGGACTTGGGAAAATGTCAGGATCAGAGGCAGCTCCTTCTCAGGGCAGCTGGGTTTCTCTTTTGTGGGGTTTCTGCTCCCTTCTGCACATCTCCCATCTCATCCACTCATCGGCTCATTCTGCTTGAAGCTCACTAAGGCTCAACCAGGTCTCTTGGAAGCCAACTGTATATTTCACAGCATCCTCAGCTTCCACACTTGTGGTTGATTTTCCAGTCCCTGTTTCCCAATTCCAAATTCCGGAAAAAGAGGAATCTGGTTCAGATCAACTTTCAAACCCAGGCCACACAAGTCAAAGTTCACTGGACAGTATGGCGATGGCTCACCTTTGCGTCAGGTGCTCACTCCCACTTAAGTAACCACCCTATACGTTCTTCCTAAGTGACCTCCTCTTCCATGAGGCACCTGAGAATACATGACCCCTTCCCAGAGTTTCATTATTTATTGCCATGTAACAAGCCACCCCAAAACTTAGTGTTTAAACAACAGTTTGTTTTTTCATGACTCTGTGGGTTGGCTGGGCTTAGCTGGGAGGTTTTCCTGCTTCATGGCTGGCGTCACTCATCCAGCAGCATCCCACTGGAGTTGAGCTGGGGCTGGATCAGCCGAGACAACCTCACTCATATGTGATGCTGAGAGTAGCAGGGAAACCACTGTTCTCCACTGGCTACTTATCCTCCAGGGCCGCTCTGCCTCACCACGTGGACTCTCCAGCAGGACAGTCCAGTCTTCTTTTTCTAGTAGCTGACTCCCAAGAAGGCAAAAATGGAATCTGCAAGGCCTCTTAAGGCTTAAGCTTGGAAACTGGATAACATCACTTTTACAGCATTCTATTAGTCAAAGCAAGACACTGGGTCAGCTCAGATTCACTTCCACCTCTGGATGGCAGGAGTGTCAAAGTCACATTGCCAAAGGGCAGGCAGGATGAGAGAGAGTCCGGGGTCATCTATGGAATAAATCTACTAGGCCTTGAGAAGGGCAAGTGGAAACATATTTCTCCAATCTTAAAACTTTTTATTGTTATTATTTCCCCCTTCCTCCCACACAAGGTTTGGTTGGTTTCCCCCAGGATGGCAGAGTCTGTCCAGGTCCCTCCATTTTGTACCCCCTCCCAGGCAGACACCCCCCAGGCTAAGCCAGTGTTTACTCCTGTTGCTCCCACCCACCCGTGCATGCTTCTAGGCTCACACGGAGATGCCCCTTGTCTGTTTCCTGGCCTGTGCCTTGGGATGGGTGGCATCCCGGCCTCTCCACCGAGGTCTCTCCATCCCTGAGACTCCGGAACGGTGGTCCAAGAGTCTTTGACTCTGAGGCTCCTCTTCTGCCTTCCCTCCATCCAGCCACTTCAGAGCCTGTAACTAATCATCCCAAGCTTGGCAAGTGGGACCTGGCAGTGCGCGCCCCCTGCTGGCTCTCGGGGGCCCAGCTAGAGCTCGGGTCTTGAGAGAGAATCCCCGGGAGTGTCTCAGGTCGGGGTCCCCCGCCGGGCGAGGAGAGCGTAGTCTCCACACGGACTTCGAGGGCCCTTCTGCCTCGGTGGGGAAGAGCTGCGGGGCGGGGCCTCCACCGTGCGCCCGGCGGGAGGCAGGCTCCTGCTGGTAGCGGAGCTGTCCATTCACCACCTAGGGTTCGAGGGAGGGGACCCCGCTCAGGGCCCCACGGTCCTTGCAACGCAGGGGAAAGCGGGTTAGCTTGGGGGCGGGGGACTAGCTTTTCATTTTCTCTTTGGGATTCACCATCCTGGAAAAAAAGGCGTCAGGCCTCCCCTCTCCCCGCGATCCCGCAGCAGCCCGCAAGCCCCGCTTCAGAGCCCCTTCACCTGAGAGCTGGGAAG